CCTCTGTGACGAGCTCTCCCGCACAGGCTCCCGTCACATTTCTTCCGCCCACACCAGCCAGCCGGGTGCCCAGTGATGATGCAGAGACTGTTGGGCTGGAGGGGCTGAGGAGATCTGTCTTTTCCTTGCATTCCCCCCACTTCTGACCTATGTACCCTTTATTTCAGCATTGCAGGTTTACATTTTATTTATTGTCGTTAGAATTGCTAATACTTTTGAATGGTTTAAAATTCATGGGATATAAAAGCATATCTGATTTTTAAAAATCCCCCAGTTTCTCTTCCCAGAGGCAACTAACGCCGAATGGCTTGTGTCTATCTAGAGACCCTTCATGTGTTTTCTAGCCAACAGGCATAGAGATGCTCTCCCTCCCTCATCCTCCACATTCACTTCACAGTGTACCTGGGGCATTACTCCACCCATTCAGGAAAAGCATCCTCAGCCTTTCCTTGCTGTTTACAGCAGTAGTTTTCTCCTCTTTCTGTTGCCGTGTGCCTGCTGGGCGCTTTTAGAGAAGACAGGACCGGCTGAGCGCCAGGCCCCGCTGAAGGAGTGGCTGTCTGGAGCTGGGGACTATTTCCACCTACTCTGTCGCTCTTCTTTCAACATTGTCCCAGTTTCCCTGCTGACCTTACACTTCCAGGGATGTCCAGGGCCACCAGCAGCAGTCTGGCACAGCACTACGGCGGCGCGTTGGGGAGAGCACAGGTTTTGGAGTTTGCGGGTCCGGGTTTGCATTCTGGCTCTGCCTCCAGCAGGTCCCTGACCCTGGTCTGAGAGACCTCCGGCTCTGTCCCCCGCTTGTAGGATGGGGTTAGTGACACCACCAGTTTAAAGGTGAGTTTCGGCGTGCTCTCTAGGGCAACATTTGTGCCCTAATGCTGTTCAGAAGTTTACCTTTTAAAAAACAATTAATATTCCACTTATTAAGTTAATGAATTAAGTCTAGCTCTTCCTTTTAGAGCAGCTTATAAATGTTTGTTCTCTACATGAGTCTAGCAAATTTTAGCAATTTTTTAATAGGTTTTTGAATAACACTAATCTCATTCACAATCTTAGTTAACCCCTTTAAATGTTGCAAACCACATTTGTAAATTTCATATTTGGTATCCTTTTCCCAAATGCAAAGGAAAGGAATAATATAGGAATAAATTTGGGAAATTTATTCCTATAAATGTATTAAATTATAAATATGGTCTCTTAAATGTTTCAATACTGTTTTTTTTAATAATTTTATTTATTTTTTCCCCCAAAGCCCCAGTAGATAGTTGTATGTCATAGTTGCACATCCTTCCAGTTGCTGTATGTGGGACGCAGCCTCAGCATGGCCGGAGAAGCGGTGCATCCGGGCACACCCGGGATCCAAACCCGGGCCGCTAGCAGCGGAATGTGCGCACTTAACCGCTAAGCCACGGGGCCTGCCCTTCAATCCTGTTTTAAAGATAAGATTTCAATTTAACATCTGATGTATAAACCAGTAACTCTTATATTTTTTGAATTATAAGAGTGACCATGACTACTATTCTTTTTAAATTTTTTCCCAGCTTTATTGAGATACAGTTGGCATGTTATGTTGTGTAAGTTTAAGGTGTACAACATGTTGATTTGATATACTTATATGTTGTGGATGACTTAAATGTCATAAGTGATTACCACCATAGGTTAGCTAACAGCTCCATCCTGTCGCATAATTACCATTTCTTTTTTGTGGTGAGAACATTTAAGATATACTCTCTTGGCAACTTTCAAGTATATAATACAGTATTATTAGCCGGATTCACCATGCTGTGCATTAGACCCCCAGAACTTATTAATTTTAGAACTGGAAGTTTGTACCTTTGATCAACATCTCCCCATTTCCCCCACCCCCAGCCCCTGGTAACTACCTAACCCCGAGACCAAAGGTTAGAGGGGGCCTGGAGACAGTGATCAGATCTGTCACACCCACTATCTGAAGGGGACCCTTCGGAGCATGCAGCTCGTCACTGGGCTATGAACCAAGAACGGCTTTTATGTTTGTAAACATTCACATTTTAAATGGTTCCCTAGGTACCTCCCCTAGCCTCAGTTTTGCCCCTCGGTCCACAAAACCTTAAATATTGACTATCTGGCCCTTTAGAAAAAATTTGCCAGCCCCTGTTCTAGAGGGCTATCTTAGAGATACAAATGTGTCAGAGATGGTACAGGCTTGAGGGCAGACAGGCAGGGCCTGGAATCTCAGCTCTGGGCTGACTCATGGCCTCTGGCAAGTCATTTCTCACCTGAGCTGCAGGGTCATCAGAATCCACAGTGGACTTGAAGACAGTGAACGCGTAGTTAATGTCCACGAGCCCTCAAATGCGTTCTTTGCTGTGGTGGCCTCTGGAAGGTGACCTTCCCTAGGAAATGGAGAATGGGGCCATCCTGGAAGAGCCAGCAGGTCCATAGGCAGCCGGGTGAGTTCACTGGTGCTTAGGAAGTGAAGTCTGAGACAAGGGACAATCCTCAATGCTGCTTACTCAGGCTGGGTGCTGGGACCAGGCTGTGGCATGAGGTGTAGACTCAAGCCAGCAGGTAGCAGAAAGGAAGGGCTTTGTACCAACTTGAGCTCACAGGAGAGGCAGGGATAGCCCCGCCTGGAAACATCGTCTCCCTAGACAGCAGGACTGTGGGCCATCACAGCAGCAGAAACCGCCTGGATCGCGCTCACTGAGGAGCCGCTGCTGAGGGCGGGCTCTGCAGTAAGAACAGCAACAAACCAGACAGCCTCCTTCAGAAGAAAAGGATGAAAGGCAACCATGAAACTCTGTTTTGTGAAGTGGTGGTTTAAAACATTCTCTGGTACACATACGGACGGCTGGGAACCTGTGGGAGTGCCTACCATGGCATCTTATCTTCTAGAGTCGGGGACTGTTTCTGTGAATATGCAGTCATTTGACGGAAAGATCGTGGCTTCTGGGAGAAGAACATGCAGTGAAATGATGACACGTGGGTGAACGTGAAGATCAGGAACTAGAGCTCTCTGACCGCCCTTAAATCCCTGAACTGTTTAACTGGAAGTGACGCCAGAAATCTGGAAACTATCAACAGTAGGGTTCAAGTTAATGTCTGGGCATTACGGGATGAGCATGGTAACTTTTTTGTATTATGCAACTACTACAAACATAGAGTAAGTTCGACATTAATGTGATTTCAGAGTCTTTTGTGTACAATGGAAAAACCACTTTTTTTTTTTGTCTTTAAGGTATGGTAGTTTTTTTGGAAAGAGAGGAATTTCCAAGGAAACAGAGAAGAATGAAATTTCCTCTACAAGCCTGTCATCCCTTGTTGTTGGCTGAAATCCATCAAACGCCCATCCTGATGATCTAGCCTGTGGGAGGACTTACTCTTAGACTAGCCAGCTGCCCCTCCCAGGGGAGCTGAGATGGGCCTCTTCCGAGGCAGAAGCTGGATTCCTGATCAAACGGGACCTGTAGGGAAGAGGAAGCAAGGCCCCCGTGGGGTGGGTGATTGACAGTACCTGCTACTAACTCTCAGTTAATTTATTCCTCAGGTGGCTGAAAATGGTCACTGAACACGACAGAAACGGTGCTGGGAGAAAGGGGCTTAATTAAAGTTAAATTTTCAATTGCATTTCAATGTAGCTGTTCCTTTGGCAACAAGAACTAAGTTTTTAAAGACTCTTAAAATTTGGCCTCTTTTTGTGTTGAGAATAATGGGATGATATTAGGAATGGTGTTGACTCATTCACTGAGGAGAAGCTTCTTACAGATGTTAATTGGTTATGGTAAGATTTCTCACTTAAGGTGACCAGACTGTAAAAGCACAATTGTTAAATTGTTTAAATAAATATCACGTAAAATAAGTACGTCACATTTTTATTTAACTCTAGCGAATGAACCAGCAGAGAACCAAGAAAGCTGGTTTAGAAAGGATTTGAAGAACTAGGATTACCCTGTGAGACTAGAAATGCAAACAGAGGATTGCTGAAACCTGGTTCCGGCCTGGGGCAACGAAACCGTAATGATCTGTCTGGGGTTATCTCATCTATGGGAGGGAAACAAAGATAGCAAGAGGCTCCTTAAGCTAAACACAGACGCCCTGGTCACGTGGGCTGGGGGCAGAAGACGGACAAAGGTGGAGTGGTGCTCCCCCTAGAGTGCGCACAGGGCTGTGACCTACTGGTTCACTGTGGTAGCTCCAGAGCTCAGAGCAGGGCCAGGCGCTTAATAGACGCTCAATCAGTACATGTTGAATGAATAAATGGGAGCCAGACTCCTCCTCCCCTCCCAGCACCCTGCAGGAGTTTTATGGTATGACTGAGCATGTATAGAATTAAAATGTGCGAGGACATATAGCATTTAAGCCCAGGCCACACACTCAGATACACTAGAAATATCACTTTAATTACATTTCAAATCCTCCTTCCTCTGGGTTGGTGGCTCCCTTCGACTGCCAAGCTACAGTATGATTCTGGAATCTTACCCAGCACCTTAGGGTGGGGCATGAGCCTGCCCACTGGGCCTCACCAGGGTCCAGGTGGTGATGGGTGAGACACCGTATCCTGGGTGAGCAGCAGCTCTTCCTCCTCCTGTGACACACTTGGGGCATGGAATCCACGTACCTTTCTACCTGGATCTGCAGGTCTCAGCTGTAGCTACAATTTCACCTCACCTCGAGGACTTTTTAAAAAATACTGGTGCTTGGTCTTGCTTCTCTGTCTGAATTCTCTGTCTTGGGTGTTGATTTCTTTTTATTGAGGTGAAATTCGCATAACATAAAATTAACCGTTTTGAAGCAAACAACTTAGCAACACCTAGTGCAAGCAACACCCTCATCTAGTTCCAAAACATTTTCATCTCCCCGTTGATGCAAATAATCCATAATCAATCTATAGATCAAAATTGGGGTGAGCCAAATTTGAGGACCATATAGCCCAGGACCTTCCTTCCCCAAGGAAGGAAGGGCACCAAAGTGGGGTGTACAGAGTGGTTATATACCGTCAAAGAGCATGTATCACACATGATTGCAATGCCCCTTTTACAATAGTCACGAGATTGTTCTGTGAGCACAGCGATTGATGGAAACAGCAGGTAGCAGGTCTGTTGTCTCGAGCTGGGTGGTCACAGGGTAAGTACAGCAATCAAATCCTAGCCTAGGGAGAAATGCTCATCCTTAAGGAAATGCCAATGTGGGGGAAGTTGCATCCTTATCTTAAGGGCATTTATTCTTGTCTTTGTGACATAGTAAATGCTTAAAGCAGATATACATTGCATGTTCAAATGCCACAGTCAGGACCTTTTGGAAAAACAAGCTTAGGCCAAATTAGTTTTACACCAAATGGCTTCCTCATATACTCCAATATGCCCTATTGCTTGCCAATTATTTATCATCCCCAAAATAAAACCCTGTGCCCATTAAGTGGTTAATCCCCATTTCTCCTCCCTCCAGCCCCTAGAAACCAATCTTCTTCTTGCTACTGTGGATTTAGCTATCCTGCACGTCTCATACAAATGGAATCAGACACTATGTGACCTTTTGTGTTTAGTTCTTTCACTTAGCATCCTGTTTTTGAGGTTCATCCAGGATGTAGCATGTGTCAGTACTTCATTCCTTTTTATGGCTGAATAATATTCCAGAGTATGTGCATACTGTAATTTGTTTACCCATTTGTCTGTTGATGGACACTTGGGTTGTTTCCATCTTTTGGCCATTGTGAATGGTGTTGCTATGATGATTTGGTTACAAGTATTTGCTTGAGTCCCTGTTTTCAGTTCTTTGGGGCATATACCCAGGAATGGAATTGCTAGGTCATGTGGTAATCTTACATTTAACTTTTTGAGGAACAGTCAAACTGTTTCCACAAGGAGGAACCATTTTACATTCCCACCAGCAATGTGCAAGTATTCCTATTTCTCCACATCCTCATCAATATTTGTTATTTTCTAGTTTTTTTCTTTCTTTCCTTTTTTTTTATTCCAACCATCCCAGTGAGAAGTGGTATCTCATTGTGGTTTTGATTTGCATTTCCCTAATGACTCAGGTTGTGGAGCATCCTTTCATTTGCTTATTGGCCATTTGTATATCTTCTTTGGAGAAATGTCTCTTGAAGCCCTTTGTCCATTTTTTAAGTGGGTTGTTTGTCTTTTTTGTTGTTGAGTTGTAAGTGTTTGTTGATGCAAATAATCCATAACCAATCTATAAATCAAAATTGGGGTGAGTTTATTATGAGCCAAATTTGAGGACCATATAGCCTGGGGCCTTCCTTCCCCAAGGAAGGAAGGGCACCAAAGAAGTGGGATGTGCAGAGCGGTTATATACTGTCAAGGAGCATGTATCACATATGATTGCAATGTCCCTTTTACAATAGTCACGAGATTGCCCTGTCAGCACAGCGATTGATGGACACAGTAGGTAGCAGGTCTGATGTCTTGATGGGCACAGCAGGTAGCAGGTCTGTTGTCTCGAGTTGGTTGGTCACAGGATGAGTGCAGCAATCAAATCCTAGCCCAGGGAGACATGTTTATCCTTAAGGAAATGCCAATGTGTGGGAAGTTGCATCCTTATCTTAATGGCATTTGTTCTTGTCTTTGGGACATGTTAATTGCTTAAAGCAGATATACAATGCATGTTCAAAGGCCACAGGCCCTTTTGGAAAAACAAAGTTGGGCCAAATTAGTTTTATACCAAATGGCTTCCTCATATGCTCCTATATATCATATTGCTTGCCATTTATTTATCGAGTTCTTTATATATTCTGCATATTAGGCCCTTTTCAGATATACAATTTGCAAATATTTTCTCCCATTCTGTAGGTTGTCTTTTCACTTTCTTGATAATGTCCTTTGCTACACAAAAGTTTTAAATTTTGATGACATCCGATTTATCTTTTTTTTTTCTTTCATCATTTGTGCTTTTGGTGTCATATCTAAGAATCTGTTATCAAATCCAAGGTCATGAAGATTTACCCCTGTTTTCTTCTAAGAGTTTCATAGTTTTAGCTTGTATTTAGGTCATTGATCCATTTGTAGTTAATTATTGTAATGTTGTGAGGTATGTACGGGTCCCGCTTATTTTTGCGTGTGGATATCCCGTTGTCCCAGCAGCTTGGACACTGATTTTTATATAGCTCCTCCCAGGTGATTCTAATATGCAGCCAGACGAAAGCCTCAATGACTAGCTGCACCACCAGCCATGCCTGCTGCCTGTCTGCGTCCTGGGGCTCAGGCAGGAATCTGCGAGGTGCATTCCTCCTATTTCTACCCCCTCTTCTTGGAGTTTCTCCCTCTGTCAGGGAAGAATTTTTCTAGTCTGGGGGTAGGGAAGTTCCGGGCTCAGCTTCTGGCCAAGACCACCTGTTCACACCCAATTCCTGAGGAATTTTGGCTTTTGGAAACAACCCAGGAAGACTGGCTCTCTAGGAAGGGCTCGCTCTGCTTTCAGCTTAAACACGTTTTTCCCAGAGGCAGTGGGCATGAGTTTGGCTCAGGATCCTGCTGGCTCTGAGGCCGTCGTTTGCTGGACACCTTCTTCGCTGGACCCCTAAGCCGTGGCTACTCACCTGGGCCATCGTCTGGCATCGGTTCCTGTGTTCTCTGGTCACAGCGTGTGAGTTTCACCATCCGGATGGGCTTCCTCCACTTCCCTGTGAATGACTTCCCCTAGTTGACCACGCTCCAAGCCCCCAGTCTGAATTAGCAAAGAATTGATTTATAAGACAATTGTAGGGTATTTACAAGATGTTTTATGGTTTCAAAGTACATTACACTTCCCTTCTACACTCTCATTTCAGCAGAACTTGTGAGGTAGGGGTGGCAGCGCTGGTTCCATTTTGCAGAAGGAAAATGGGGTTCTGATGACCAGTTAGACCTGGGTTCCAGCCTTGTGGTCTTCCTGCTTTGTGATTGGTAGTAAGCACAGGAAGCCGGGGACAGAGCTTTGGGTCCAAAGGACTCACTGATCTGAGTCTATCTCTTACTAGGTCTGGAGGAGGGTGAGCACCTCGGGTGAGAGGATCAGGATGAAAGGGCAGGGACACATCTCTACGCAAAGGAGGCTCCGCCCTATAAAAGCAGCGTGGGCAGCGACCAGGTGGGCCGTGCCTGGTACCTCGGGTTACCTTTGACAGTAACCCCTGTTAATGGAGCAATTGCTTTATTCCACGCGCAGATAGAGACTCCAGTCTAAAAAGCTCTCCTCGTTTCGCAGCTGTGCGAGTGCCTCACCGACTGCCTTGTCCTCTCACTATGGGTGACCTACGGCTCCGACAACTCAGCAGGAGCACTGCCTGGTCCAGGATGCCTTGGCGTTTACATAAAGCAGTAACTAGAGAGTTCTAGACTCAAATTCCATGTTCTTGATTCAGTGCTGTATTTAGTGAGGGACTGCAGACTGTGTCTATTATTGTCCCATCCTTGGTCTGCCTTCTCTTTGGGCTTGCTTACCCTATGAAACCAGTCTATTTTTGCTTTCCCCTAAAGAGTAGAGGGCTTTTCTCACCACTGGAAAGTAAATTGACAACATCACTAAATTTTTTGGCTATTCAGGACTCAGTGACATTTCTGGGAGCTGTTGCTCAATCCTGAGGGAGCAATTAAAATTCTAGAGGGCATCTACGTGGTGCTGGGGAAACTAAAACAGACTTGTCCCCACTCTCCTAGGAGAAGGTGCCATCGTCCACCAGGTGAGGGTGGGGGAGGAAGCCTATGCCTTGGGATCTGGCCAGATGGCCCAGAATAGGCTCAACTCAACAGTCTTTATTGAGAATTCTCTAACGCCAGAAGTACGGTCCCTTTGTAAAAATGCTACCAACTCTAGGGCACGGCCACTTCTGCTGACCCTTTGTGGAGACTTCCTTGCAGCCCCCTTGTCCCTCTGTCCACCCCCGCTTCCCTCGCTCTCCTACAAGGATTGATTCCGTGGGCACAGCCCATGAACACTTGCACACTCCTCTCCACCTCAGAGTCTGTTCCCAGAGAACTCCAGCTGTGGCTGGCACCCACGACATGGATTTCATAAAGAAACTCTTCTACTTGTGTGTGGGAACGCAGATAAGAGTGTTCCTTGGGTACGAGAACGTAACATCATCTGGTAATAGTGAAAAACTGGAAAACTCTGTCAGTGGGGGAATGGATAAATAAATTGTGGGATAGTCATAGAAGAGAACACATCATAGAGATTAAAATGCGTGAACTTGCTCTATGTTGGAGAATATGACTAAACCTTAAACCCAATGCCGAGAGGGAGGCAAACAAGTCACAGGAAGTTACTCTCGTTGTGCTGGTATTTTTGCGAACTATTAAACCCAAAACTATACCTTATGTTAATAGAACACACGTGTTTATTACAAATACCTGAAGCAAATATGGTATAATGTTAACATTTCTTCAATCTGGGTAGCTAAAAGTCCTGCATGGCATATGGATGCTTGTTTTACTGTTATTACTGTTAATTGTTTATTACTAATTTTTTTGGCTTAAAGTCCAGGCATCTTATGTAGTTCCAAAGCATTAGAGGCTGCTCTGCCACGTGTCCACATATCTTGCCCCCTAAGAGGCTCACATCTTGGCACTGGCTCCTCTGCACTGCGTCTCTCTGAGGCTGCAGGGTTCTTTGGTGAGCCCTGGGGCCCAGCTCCTGGGCACCACCCACACAGCCCCCTGGGAGCTGTCCTGTTACGTGAAGACCCACTGCCTCCAGTCTGGTCTGAGCTGCTGGGCATGCAGTAGGCCACCCTCCAGAGGGCAGGTGGGAGCAGGCAGCAGTGAGCATGGTATGGGTGTGCAGGGGCGCTGGTGGAGTAGGGGTGGCACACAGGTTTTCTGTGAACAGGGCTATGGAAAGGTTATCACCAGACCAAGCCTGCCACGTTGCAGAAGGACCGTGGTTCAGACCACCGTGGGGTCCAGCTCCCCGGAGTTCCTCAAACCCACACAGCCAACCCTGGACCACGTCCAGCACTGCTGCCGAGCTGCTTCGTCCCACAGTGTGCCTCCAGCACCCTCTGCTGAGAGAGTTTAACCTCGTGCTCACTTTAAAGGGGAAACACCTCAAGGCCCCCACTGTTGACCCTGAAGCTGTGCAGCTGAGAGCCGGTACACTGACAGCAAGCTCGAGTCACAGCCCAAAGACCAGCACTGGAATTAGGGCCTTTTCATTTGCTTGTCTGTGATTTTTCCTTATCCTTTCCCCATTTTCTATTGAGTCACGGGTCTGTCTTTGTATCAACTTGTGCTCCATCACGGCACCGGGAAAGAAAGTCCTCAAGCCAACTGTTCATGATTTTACCAATATCAGACTCGAATCGCAGATCCCGGGACGACATGCCTGTTCCCACCTTTAATGACAGTTCTGAACTTGAGCCCATGCTCTCAGGGCTCCATGAAGAGATGTTTATGTGGGTCCAACGACAACGTGAAGCTGACCATCAGCCCTGCCAGGGAAGAGAGGGAGAGGCTGTGGCTCCCGTCTCGGCAGTGTGGGGTCCAGCATCTGTGCACAGTTTGCTCACATCTGCCAAGGTTGGACGAGACCAGGCCGAGGCAGACAGCAGCACCTGCTGGGGCTTTATTTGGGGTGGGGGTGATGGCTGGTAAACCTCCCCAGCACAATTCAGGAGCCACCTGTTTGTCTGCGTCACTGTTCCTTCATTTTCTGCCCTTTCCTTTGTTCAGGAACATCTGCTCCACACAAATATAATCTAACTGCTTCTGTTGAGCCCATGGCATTTGGCATTGCAGCAATGTCTGAACTCCAGAGACACAGATATGAACACATTTCTTAATTAACCCTTCATTCTGGAGATAGCTGGGAGGGTCTCAAGGAGGAGGCGAAATGCCTCTTAAAGAGAAATAATTCTAATGTCAATCTGCTTGTCCAGAAATAAAAGTGACATAGGACACAAGTAGTGATTGACAGACGAAGTGGACAGAGACACGTCTCACTCTTGATAAAACCAAGCTAACTTTGTAAATGAACACATCCCTCAGGTTTTATGCCCTCAGCTGTCATATATATCCTCTCTCTACCACATTACAAAATTAGTAGCATATAATTTATACTAGTGTGCACCTTAACTTTTTTTTCCTCTTCTTAATATACTGTGGCGCTCTTTCCACATCAGCACATAAAGAATTCCGTCTTTGTGTGTGTGCATGCATGTGTGTGTGCAGGGTGGGGTATTCTAATCTATAAGGTTATTCATTCTATTGACGCATATTAATATTGCTGATTCTTCTAGTATTTAAAGATTTTATTTTTGCACTTAGGTTTTAATCCATTTGGAATTTATCCTGGAATCAGGTGTGAGGTGCAAACCTGACTTAATTGTTTTGCAGATATCTACCCATTTCTCCATTGTGGTTGCTTGAAAATATCTCTACAAATTCTTTACCACTCCCCCCTTCAAAAGGTGGAGGCTAACTCCTGTCCTCTTCACTGTAGGTCAGACTGAGTGACTCACTTCTAATTGACAGAAAGAATGGTGTGTCACTTCTGAGACCAGGTCATTAGAGAGATGCAGCTTCTGCCTGGCTCTCTGGGATCAATGTTCTGGGGGGCACCAGCCACCATGTTGTGAGGACACTCCAGTAGCCTGTGGAGAGGTCACGTGGCGAGGAACTGAGGCCTCCTGCCGACAGCAGCCTTCAGATCGGCGCGCGTGTGAGTGAGCACCTGGAAGCAGGTCCTCCAGGCCTGCTCTCAGACAGCTGTAGCCTCGGCCTGGAGCTTGACCCAGCCTCACGAGAGAACTGAGTCCGAACCACTCGGGGAAGTCGTTGGTGGACTCCTGACCCACAGAAACTGTGGGAGATAATAAGTAAACATTGTGGATTTAAGATGCTAACTTTTGGGATTAGTTGTTATGCAACAAGAGATAACTAACACATTTAACAACCATTTATTGGACAATCTATCTTTCCCACTAATTTGAGGAGCCGCCTCTTCTATACTAAATTACTGTATGAACATGGATCTGCTTCTGCATTTTCTGTTATGTTCTATTGATCTATTCCATGGATCTAATTTAATCATGGAAACTTTATCTTAAGTTTTAACGTCTGGTAGGGCAAATGCTGCCTACTGTCCTTCATTAAGCTAATCTCAAAAATTATATCACTATGATTATTGGAATTACCTTAACTTTATAAATTAAGTTAGGGAGAAATGACACTTTATGATGGTATTGTAGACCAGGTTCCCCTGGAAACATTCTGAGATGAAGATTTGCATGCAGAAAATTTATTAGAGTGTGCTCTTGGGATCAAAACTTTTGAGAGGGTGAGGGACTGCTATCAGTCAATGGAAGAGATCAACAGAACACAGCAGGACTGGCAAAGGGAGGATTAAACTGGAGTCGAGACCTCAGCCAGTCCATGGAGAGCTCTGAAACTGGGATGGCCCTTCACAGATGTGACCAGTTGAGGCAAGCAGGCAGAGCCTTTGTACCCCCGTACCGACCAGTCATCGGTGAGGGGCTGTCCTCAGGGAGAGGGTTACTCTTGGGTGAAGCAACTCCCTTATGCCAAGTGCAATTTCTGAGGACAGGAGCAGCAGGCAACACTCCTAGCAGCTTAGGAAGTGAGTGCCTTGGTCCTGACAGGGAGATTTGGGCAGTACACGCACAGATGTTGAGTCTTCCAGATATAAGTATCATCATACAATATTACAGTATTTGTCTTTCTCTGTCTGACTTATTTCACTTGGCATAATGCCCTCAAGGTCTATCCTCGTGACCAGGGCTCACATCCGCACCTGGAAGGCGAAGCTCCAGATCTACAGATCTCCAGGTGGCTCCCCAAAGTGCCGTTCCTTCTCTCCTGTCAGGTCGCCACAGCCCTCTGCCTGTACCCGGAATGCCCTTTCCTCTGTTGGAGAGTCTCAGTTCTCCTGGAGAATTCAGCTCAGACATAATCCCCTCTGGGTAGGCTTCTGTCTCTCACAGATGTGCACACATGCCCTCACACACACACGCACATTCATACACAAGCACATGCACACACGCACTCTCACACATGCACACTCTCACATACATGTGCATGCCCTCACACACAAGCACACGTGCACATGCACACACGCATGCACAGACACGCGTCCCTCTTGGGTCTGGTCAGGTCCCCTGCACAGACCTGTGCCCCAGTGTCTGTATTTGTCTCTTTATTTGTCTGGGTCCCCACCTGAAGGCATAGCAGTGCTTTAGTCACCTTTAATTCTCAGTGCCTAGCCTGAGGCCTGACGCAAAGGGCTCCACAGATATTAATGAAAAGAACCCTGAACGAATGGTGGATGGGTGTGAGAACATCTCAGAAGCATGCCCTCTCTTCGTGCTCTAACATCCCAGGAAATGAGCACATAAAGTGAAAGCTACCTGGAAACAGGAGCAGGCTGAGAGGATGTAGAGTCTGCCTCGTGTGACCGTCTGTCTCAGCTAACGCGCTATGGCCCTCGTGTGGTTCTGCAAAGAGCCAGTGGGACGAGGCAACGGGAACGGAGTGGAAGGCTCAGTCTGGGGACCGTGGACCTCTTGCTGCCCCTCAGCCTCACAAGAAAGCTCTTACATTGTTGTCATTCTGTTGTCTGCACATTACGCCCAGGGCCCGAACTCATTTGTTCAGTTCTGTTATGATTTAATTATTGCAGGAGAAAAGGGCACAGACGGACAGGCGGGGAAAGACAGGAACACGGTGTTCCACTGGGGAGCACAATTTAGCTTAAAATCTCCAATAACAAGGAGCAGTGGTGCAATATCGCGCTGTACACAGAGGAGAGCCAAGTGTGGGAGACTGAACATTTACAGTGGCTGTCAGATGACTAGGAGTAGCTACTGGGTGAGTTGAGACACTGAAGGAAGACCCAATGCAGTGAATTATGTGCAGGCGAGTGAGTCCTCTGTGCCCAGGAGAGGGGACTCCCCCTCTGTCTGCTGGGCTGCTCTGGGCCACAAGGCCGCAGTGATCCTTCAGTTCTCTTCCTTCAAGTTCGCTAACGCACATGGTAGATAAAAACCAAATGGATGATTTTTTAAAGCTGTAACTCTTTTTTAAAGGGTTTACACTTTAGCAACCAGCCTTAAGTACTATTTTTCATGAAATTTCTTGAGTCTCACACAGAAATAGATTATTAAGAGTTGGAACTGCCATCCCAATATGCCCCGCCCACCAGCGATGGAATGGGGCCTTTGGGCCCCTAATGCATCCTCCACCGGATGGACCCCTCCAAGGAAACACCAGGCCCTGATAATTTAATGGGCAAATTATTTCAAATCTTTGAAGAATACGGAACTCTTTTGCCTTTCAAATTGTTCCAGACAATAGAGAGAGATGGGAAATATCTTAATTCTTCTTTTGAAGCTTAATATTACTGCCAAACGTGACAGAGACCTTTTTAAAAAGGAAAACTAGTGATTAATCTCAGTTGGTAACGAGGATACGGAAGCACTGAGTAGACTATTAGGAAGTAAAATCCTGTACTGCATTGAAAGGATAACACACCACGACAAAGTGGGGTTTATTCCAAGAAGAGAAGGATCGTACATTATGAAGAAATGTATTACTATAATCTCTCAAATTAGTAAGTTAAGCCTACTGCATACATTTCCTTTTTCCTAGTTGTATTCCCAGTACAAAATAAAATTTCTATTTGCTTTTTTCATGCGTAATATACCAAATATTTTTCTGCCATCATTGTAATTATCACTTTGAATTGTTTCCTTGGTCTAAAGTTCCAGAAGAGGGATTTTTATGTCAAATTATTTGGACATTTCATGGACTATTATATAATAAATTGTTTTCCTCCCAAAATATATTACTATACACATTACACTTAAGAGTGCCAGTTCCGCCATAACTCACCAACTTTTGGTGGTATAATTTTTTTATTTATGCAATCTGACAAGTGTAAAACTATATTTTATAGTTAAAATAGTTAAATTAAAATTTAGGAAGCTATATTGTAATTCTCACAATCTGAATTACTAGGCATTTTGGTCATTTTCCTTGTATGAATTCACAATTCGTCTGAGATACCCCGGAGCCCCTCCTTTTATCCTGCCCGGCTTTGGTCCCTCAACACAACATACCTGGAGCAAGACTTCACTTCTCTTTGGTTTCTGTTGGAAGGCCTAGCTTGGAATGAGTGAACTTCAGTCCTCACGCATCAGCTCTTAACCCACCTGATTTGTGACGAGACTATTCTCATCTTTAGCTCATTTTGGAAATTCCTTGTCTTTGGCTTTTACTGAGTTCATCTGTCTAACCTGTTCCTAACTCCCACCCCTCTCAGTTCCTGGAATCGTAGACTCTTATAAGAGCTATGCTCTCCAGACTCCACCCAGAGCAGCCAGTCACCCTGAAAAGGTGTATCTTGTCCTCCCAGCCCCACTTCTTTTGGGGCGCTCTGCAGAGTCGTCTCCATCTGCCCTCCAGGCCCGCTGTCTGCCCGCTGCCCCGGCTCCTTGTATCACACAGACGTTAGCATCTGAGCTGTACCTGACAGGCAGGCTGGCTGGGGTGTAACCTGGGCCCCCTCTCCCTCTGCGTTCCCGTTAGTGCGGCCAGTGGGCGATGCTGATGGACCCTAAAGGGACAAGAGAGGTGGCCCATCCTTCTGGGTCTCCGCGTGGCAGGGGCTGGCCTCGGTCCTGCTGGGGTCTGGCGCCACTCCTTGCCCCTGACCATCAGGCCTAAGGTGAGCCAGCTTCCTGCTGTTGTCCATCCTGGGGTATTTCCTGTCCCTTTTGGGCCCCCTCAACCCAGCCCTCACTTTGCAAAGACTGTGCTTGTTAAGTTTTCTTGAATGTCTTCTTTTGAAGTGTGCTGTTGCTCCTGCAGGGACCCTGAGGGACAGGGGTATCATTTCTTCTCCACATGATATGGTCCTGGGAGAGCGAGCTCTCAGGTCCCCTCAGCATTTGTCACCCGGGATGGCAATCAGCGCCCCACCCCCAGCATGTGACTGGCCCAGAGGTGGCATGTGATCCAAGATGGCCCACAGAGTCTCGCCTGCTGTGTAAGTGTGGCTCCTGGGACGGGGAGGGACTCTCTCCCTCTTGGATCCCAAGGTAGAAGGATTTAGGCTTGGCTCTCCCAGTGGCCAACTTCCCCGCCCTGGGGAGGAAGTCTGCCCAGGAGTGAAGCTAACACAAGGAGGCAGCAGGGCCAAGAAACGAGATGCAACTAGGACATGATGTAAGCCCATGGAGCCACACCTGCCTGAAGCCAGCCCCGCCCTCGGACCCTCCAGGTGTGAGCCACAGGGTCTTTCCACTTGTGGGTTTGAGTTCAGTTGCTGCCATTTGCCATCTAAATAGTCTCAACTTACATATCAGGGGAAACACTTCAACCGGCTACACCACCCAACCTTACAGGAGATTGTTGCATCCGTGTGTGGATGGTGTAGACCAGATGACACCGCCCAGCCACTGAGAACTGTCTCATGTCCCACCTGAGGTTCTCACGGTATCCGTAGTTCCGCTTCCTAGTCCGCCTGTCCAGGGCTACGACGACTTCCCTCGGCATCCTGGATCACTGATGAAGGGTGGCCCCAGCATCCAGGCCTCAGGCACCTGAGGATGCGCTCAGCTGGCCACAGCCACCAGGAGTCCAGCTCGCAGCTCTCATGGACTCCGCCCCAGCCCCGGGCCTCGCCCTTCCCTGGGATTCCTCTTTCCTGCTTCAGAGGCTGCAACAACGTCCTAGGAGGATTCATGACTCGGTAAGTTCTTCTCTGCTTTCCGGGTCCAAGCCTCCCGCGGCCCTGCCCTCTTGGAGAGTGTATTCTAGTGAGGGAATAGACTTTAAACCATCACCCTTTTCTTCCTAGAGCACAGTAGTGCCCAGCAGTGCCGTTTCTCCTCCTGGGGTGGACGCTGCAGGGGTTTGCGCCACGTTCAGACAAGGAGACTTTTCACCGGGATGTGGGACAGTTCCCAGGTCTCAGGCACTGTCCTGTCTTTCTCCCCTCCCCTCACACTGATCCAGACCGACCCGGAGGCGTCCGGCCTCACCCGCCTTCCCCAAATTGGAAGTGACAGCGCTGCCGCTGTGATTTTCATTGTCTTGGGCAGTGACAGATGATGTTGCAGTTTCTGAGAAAATTAAGTCATCAACTCCCAGGCACCCCTGACATCATCAGAAATGTCCAGGCTGGAGAGCCACCGGCCCTCAATGTATTATTGGAAATAATGGGCAAGAGGCAAGCAATTACATGTCGACATTGGCCCATGCCGCTGTGAAGGGTGGGGAGTTGTAATTCCTGCCTGTGGGTCATATCAAGATTTGGAACCAGAGCCCAATTTGAAATAACATAAACCAAAAGAGTTGATTAGACCAGGTGTCATTTGGAGTGCGTCTCCCTGACCCGCCCATAAATCCCTGCGGGTTATAATCTAATGCACAGTAATTGCACCAACTTCAGGCGGCGTGTAGAGTGGACAAAGGGCAGGTGGCGATGCTTCCAGCCCTGTCTGGACCAGCCCTCATCCCCATAAGACCTCTTATTTCCCTGTCATTTCCAGACTTGTACATCATGCAAGCCGCAGCCCCTGGCACAGGTAGAGGCCCACGATAATTAAGGCAGATGCTTATAACCAGAGGTGTCCACTGAACTCCCCTAGAGGCATGTCACCGAGAAAGACAGGAGAGGTCCGGTTCCTGGGTGCCAACTCCGAAGTCCTGGGCAGGGCCAGGTGAGACAGACAACACAGAAAGAGAACAGAAAAGCAAAGTACCAGTGCTCTAGGGTTCCATAGGACTTGGCCTGCTCCAACCCCAAAGCAGTGAGAACAAGAGTCAGGAAGGAGCCAGCTTGGCCTCCCAGAGCCACTATAGTCCTGAACTCGCATGCCCTTGGTGGGGAAACCCCATGCATATTTCTCTGATTTTCAGGTGTGGAGAATTTCCATGTAGGCAGGGCAGCCACCTCCCCGGCCTGAAGCCTAGACCCCCACATTGGCCTTCCCTTGTCGTGGCTGTCCTCCCTGTGTGCCCCAGGCTGCTCCTCTTGCTCTGAGTCTGGGGCCTGGCCTGGGTGAGAGCCTCCCTGATGTCCCACAGCACGTGGGACACCGGATTGAGTGTCCGGTGAGTGGGTAACCTGAGCACCTATGCAGGCCGTGCCCACGGGCCTCACAAGTTCACCTTCCTGCACCTCCAGGGCATTGCACCTCCACCCGCAAGCACCCAGAACACGTCTAGACTTCTCCGGGTCTCCACCTGGATTTCCTATTCACTTACTTATTTGAGAAATACTTACAGAACCCAGTCTTGTGCCAGTCACTTCTCCTGGCCCCGGGACATGGTGCTGAGCGGCTCTCACAGGGCTGACATCTGGTCTAGGGCAGACAAACAATAAATAATACAACAAACAGACATGTCAGTTAGTTATAGTGACTTAAAGGTCCACCACACGTTGAAGCGGTGCAGAGTGAGGAACCGGGTGGTGCTGTAGGGTGCATGTAGTAAGTCTGTGTTGATGTTAGTGAGGGGAGCAAGTTTATTTATGTGAGTGTTTTGTTCTTTCTATTATATGTCAATTTATGAAGTATAGGCATCTGTATGTTTCCATCTGTTTAAGCAGCAAATACACACAAGAAACTGTGAGTTACTCCCATAGAATGCAATAACTAGCCTAGGAGAGGGGGACAGACGAGCACTGGATGTCACATAAAATAATCAGGTAAAGAAGGTTCCATAGGGGGCTCCAAATGATCAATTAGCCAAAGAGGAGGACCAACCTCACTTCACAAGAGGTGGAACTTTAGATATCCCTGCTAGCCACAAGAAGAAGCTAGGTAAGTTTTCCTGTAAATGCTAATATAGCCAAACACAGAGCAGTGGTCAAGTCAGCCCGGTCATTAAAAAAAGATTTTTTTTTTAGTACATTCTTGAGAATGTACTAAAGTCTCAAAATAAATAAATGAAACAAACATGAAAGAAAGAGACTTTAAAAGATTCAAGACATAACCAGTAAGACTTCTGTATAGGAGAGAAGCAGCCAGCCAGCTGGTGGCTCAGGTTGGAATTCCATGGGTTACAGGCAAGTGGGACAAATGGACGGGCTGTGTGCCAAGAAAACTTTACTAACAAAACCAGAGGAGGAGGTCCCCACCAAGGAGAGCCATGAGGACAACATGGAGAGCAGGATAAGTAGACTGGAAGTGGCTGTGAGGGGGGGTTTGACATTGTAACATTTATTCATGTTCCGGGACATTTTTAGTTTCAAAATCGTGTAAAATGTATGAATAGTTTAAGAATGGAAGGTAACAAAGTACTATTAAAGATTCTAAATATGTTCTCTTTACAAAACAAAAAAGGATAAGTAATTGATAACTAAAGAAATCACTGATATTTAAAATCTAATGGCAACTTTCATTGATATTTAGTGAACATCTACACATCTTTTCAAACTAATTCAGTCACGACTGAATAACTAACTACAACATTTATCCTTGAAGTGTAGCAATGTGATGCTTTATGTTATAGAAAGATAGAAGTGGCAGTCCAGATCCATTATGCTGTAGAATATATGAAACATTTGCCACCCTGAGTTTTCGGAGGAGTAGCTGCCCACCTGTGGAGAGCTCACGTGAAGCAGGGGTTGGGTTTCCGCACAGGACCGTGTGGTGGTCCTCGTGCTGCTGTCGCCTGGGGCGGGCTGAGGGGAGGCAGGAGGGAGGACGGAGAGGGCACGGTGTGGACAATCTCTCAACGTTCCACGCGTCAGGGGAAGGAGGGTCCCTAGAAGGGACAACTGGCAGGTCTGGAAAACCACGCTTGGGAATTGGGAATCCAGTCCATGGTAGTCTAAGAATTGGCTTCCCAACTGCATTCTGGGGCATTTTCACACACCATTGAGCATATGTTCTTTACGGAGAATGGGCATCCTTCAGGAGCGTCGCAGCGTAACTACGGACACCGAGGAGGGATCCATAATGAGGACTTGACCCTAAACTTGACTAGCCCTTCTAGGGGAGGAGACAAGTGTGGGCTGCTCCCTCTCTGAGCCTCCCCTTCTTAAGCTCATCCTGCCTGCTCTCCCACCTGCAGCTTGAAGTAAAAATCAAGAGATCCACACACCAGCCCCCAAAGATCCCGAGACACGCAGAATGCTCAGAGCTCTCAGGGCCAAGGTGTCTGAAAGGGTCATCGCTCAACAGGTGCCAAAGAATCAGAAGATGACACACTTGGCTTTCCTGGAGGTGCGAGAAGCAAACCGCCAGTGACGGTGGAGATGCCTCTCGTCAGGGTCAGTACCTGTCCCTCCCAGGCAGAAACGCGCAGGCCTCTGAGGAGATCCCCCCTCGGGAGCCAGCACCCAGCCACGGCACAGACCAGCTCCACTCTTCCTCCAGAGGCGGCGGGGGTGGGCCTGCAGCCAGCATGACCGCCCTGGGCAGGGAGACCTCGGGGCCAGGACAAGCCCTCCGGGCTTCTTCCTGCCTTCACTCAAGACCCTGGAGGGCTGAGCTCTGAGCTCTGAATCGGGCTCCTCCCTCTTGGTCAAGCTGGGTCTCATGTTCGCACCTCCACCGGCCTCGGAGTTTAACCCAGTGCTTGGTTGTAACTCAGCCCCGCCCTGAGTACGCTGGGAAATACAAGGAAGGAGCAAGGCGGTGCCTTCAGAGAGAGTTGAAGCTAACAACGGAAAGTTCCTGGAAAGGCAGTGCCGTATTTACTTGCCTCAATATTTTCAGGCAGGGAAGGTCAGTCGAGGGCGCCCTCCATGAGGCAAGTCTTGTTTGAGCCCAATTGTGAAGGAAATACAGAATGTGGAAAGGTAAAAATAGCTTCTGGACAGCAGTGTAAATCACATTAGCTTAAATTTGTATTAACTTTTCGCATTCTTTTCACAATATAGCATAGTGGGAGAAGCATGCATTTTTGAGGCAGATGGGCCTGATTTTAAATCTGATTTTGTCCACTTAGGCAAGCTTCTTAAACCTCCACAAACCTGCTTCCTCAGGCTCAGTACAATGGGGATGTTAACAGTATCCACCTCGTGTGGAATTAAAAACCACCAAGTCCCACTGGTTGAAGCCAGCACAAGCGTGTTTGGGGGACGTCTCCCTGTCCCCTCTCCTCCCACCTCACCACCGACGCTCAGTTCAGGCCCTCCATCCCGTTGGCGCCAGCCCGCTCTCTCTGAAGTCCCAGCTCCAGCTTCACAGCTCTGACACCATCTTGTTCCTTCCCACCCGCTTGCCCAGGCACTACACTCCAGCCATCCATCAAGCCCGCTGAGACCATTGACCTGTCAACCCACTTGCTTGCTCACTCTCTGCCACCCGTCTCATGCCTCGCAGGCACCCTTGCCACCACTAATGTTCTTAGCATTAATTTGAACCAAATGAAATTCCTGACATTTAACCATGTGACCTACAAAATTTCATAAGGTTCAAACAAATAATTAAAATATGGCAGTTTTCCAAATATATCCCAGACCCTTGGATTCCCAGGTCAAGAGTCCTGGAAGATGGATCTCAAAGGATGAAATCTGCACACAGGGTGATGGCACAATTTTCACCCCTGTGACTGCCAGTGCTGAGCAGCTGGAAGGACCCAGGCTGGACTGGCTTCCTTGTTAGGAGCATGGCTGGCGGGCGCTGCTGTTCCCCTTGCAGGCCGGGCAATCTCGTTCCAGACTGGCTCTTGGGGGTCTTGGCGATTGCAGACAGCCTCCATGAGCAGCGAAAAGAGCCTGGACTAAAGGGTCGTGAGCCTGGGTCCTTACTCCTAATTCTGTCACACCTTAATCAGCCGCATGATCTAGTTGTCTCCGGACTGAGAAGACCTTCACCTTCATTCTCTTCAGCACACCGTGTATCTGCGGAGAGCTCGCCACGTGCCCTTTCTCTGAGCTTCTGCACCGGCCCCTGTTGCCTCAGGTGTCTCCCTTCCCTTTGCCCCTGTGGTTTGCAACAACCAGCGTTTTAACACCCCTTCCTGAGAAGAAAATGAACCTGCACAGGAGTTGACGTCACCATATGGCCAAAGCTGCTGGAGCCAGCAGATGGAAAAAGGAAAAACAGAACCAGACTCCAGGGATGACGTGACCCTCCCAGGGCCTGGGTCCCTCAAGTCGTTCATCACAGGTCAGAGACAGCCTGCTTCCAAACCCGGACTTCCCCTCGCTCTCTGGGTGACCTTGAGCAAGCCATTTATCTCCTCTGAGACTTGATTCTTCCTCTGTAAAGTACTAGAAATAAAAGCTCTTTCTTCAGAAGGTGGTTGAGAGGATAAATGGGAAAGATGCATGTGGTGCACTTAGTGCAGTCCCTGTGGGTGTGTCACTCCCAGTGGATCCTTCCTTTGGAGTGGATTGAATTCCTGACCCAAATGACTAGTGGGGAAATTTGTCACACAGTGACAGACCGCTGAAGCCGTCTGCTTCTGGACTCGTATTCAGATTCCTTACACAGCAGCTGGCCTCTCCTAGCATGAACGTGGAAGCTGCCAGGTGTCTCAGGGCAGGGCCCAGAACTGGCACGGCTTCACCCACCATGTTCTATTGTCAAGATGGGTCATAAGGCCTGCTCTGATTCACAGAGAGGGAATCGGGGAGATAATCTCCACCTCTGGATAGGTGGAGCATCGTGACATACAGAGTGACCATCTTGGAAGACTATCTGCCACAGATGTAGACATATATGGTCACTTGTTTGTGACAAAGGTGACACTACAGTGCAGTGGAGAAAAGACGGTCTTTTCAATAAATGATGCTGGGTCAAATAGACATCCAACCAAAAAACCAAAATCAATCCTGACACCTACTTTATACAACACACACTTAAAAAATCAACTCTAGAAGGATTGTAGATCTAAATATGACAGGTGAAATAGTAAGGTTTTTAGAAGAAAACCTAGGAGAACACCTTCATGTTGTTGGACTAGGCGTATGTTCCTTAAACAAGACCCACAAAGTACTAACTATCAAGACAAAAGATGATGACTTTAACTACATTAAAATTAGGAACGTCTAGTCATAAAAGATACCATTAGGAGATAATGAAGGCAAGCCACAGAGTGAGGGGAGATATTTGTGAGACATAAAGGGCTGATACTGAAAAAAAAAATTTTTTAACAACCTATAAATCAATAAGGAAATGACAGACGAACCAATAAATAATAGGAAAATAGGAATGTCGCAGAAGAGTATATCCAAATGGCCAATACACTATGAAAAAGTGCTCGACTTCATTAGTTATCAGAGAAATGCAAATTAAAACCACAGTGAGATACCATTTCACAGCAAGCCGAATGACAAAATGAAAAAGACAGACAAAACCAGTATCAGCAAAGACGTGGAGAATTTAGAACATAGATACACTGCTAGCGGGAGTAAACTGGTTCAATCCCTTTGGAAAATTGTTTAGCAGGACATACACATACCCTCTCTCCCAGCATTTCCACTCCTAGGTATCTTCCCAACAGAAAAATGCACACAAATTCAACAAAACACACAGATAAGAATTTCACAGCAGCACCATCCCAAGAGCCCCAAACAGGAAATGAATCAATATTTGTAACAATAGGATGGATAAATAAATTGTGGTATATCTATGAAATGGACAACTATACAGCAATGCAAATGGATGAAATACTGATGCACAACACAACAGGGATGACTGCCACAAGCATGTTATGCAAAAGGAGCCGAGTACAACAAGGTGCCCATTCTATGACTCTACTTAGATGAAGTTCACAAATCAGGCAGCGCTAATTGTGCTGCTGAAAGTCGGGACAGCAGTACCCCTGGGGAGGGAATTACAGAAAGGGGCCGAGGCAGCTTCTGAGATGTCAGCAATTTTTGTTTCTTGTTCTGGGAGCTGGTTATATGATGTGTTCACTTTGTGACATTCATTGAACTGTAAACTTTTGATTCATATTTTTCTGCTCCTGTGTTATACTCCAATTAAATTCAGTAAAATAAAAGGGAAAAGTCTACTTACTCAGATATTTGCTTACTCAAATTTCTCCATTTTTCACAATTAGCTGCAAATTATGAGAGAGAAAATGGAGGAGGTTGGTGTGTGAGACCAAGAGAGAGGAGAGACAGAGAAAAAAATAGAAATCAGTGTTTTTACTGAAAGCAGTGAAACTATCTAAGACACAAAAGGAAAAGGAAGTAATTCTACATCCCCACTTGTTATTGTGATAAAACTCTAACTGTGCAAAAACAGTTAGAGTTGGGAATGTGTCATTCCCAATATGTTTTGTATATAGGCCATGAAATCACCCTTCCAGGACCCAGGATAGAAAGTAAATTGGAATTATTTTTAGTTGTTATGAAGGCTCCAACTTCAAAGAGAACAAAATGTCAAGTTTAATGATTCCTCCAACTACTAAGCTAGAAATCAATTTTTTAAACTCATTTATTGTGTCATAGCCAGGTCACCAGTAGACACTCTTATATTTTTGCAAGAAATTGCAGCTACCAGCTATGAGAGCTCTGATTTTCTGTGCAAACTGTACAAGTCTTTTTCCAGAGAAAAATAATAACTGCATCTTACTAGAAGAAAAAAATCCCTCCCTTGGAATAAATTGAGAAATTAAAGTGTAAGTAATGTCATGAATTAAAATTGACACTCTCAGAGAAAAATTAAAACTGGATCCCTACCTCAGCCGACATATGAAGGTGGACTAGATGAATGAAAGAGCTACATGTGGAGGTAAGACGATAAAGCTCATAGCAGAAAGTTCAGGAGAATATCTCTGGGACCCTGAAGGTAGGGAAGGTCTTCTTAAACAAAACTGCTAAATCAA